CCTAAGCTTTAATTTGATATATGTTAAAGGACACAGTATTTCCGGAACATTTTCAAAAGCTAAGTGAAAAAGTTGATTTCTGTAAAAAAGTTGCTATTTTGAATCCCCCCTGTAAGCAGGTTCAGTGTTAGATTTTCAAAAAAATGATATCAAATGAAATGGAAGTATTTAAGGTTTCAATATAAAATAAATTATGTCGATTTATTCATTTTTCAAAATATTATAGCAGTTTTAAGAAAAAAATTCCAAAATTTACAGATCATAAAAATTGTAATTTTTTGAAAGATATGTGCATTTACAAGGAACAAGGGAAATTTTTTCAATTTTCAAGGGCAATGTCTTCAACTAGATACGATTTGTGTCTTTTGACGAATCATTGAAAGAAATCGATTTGGTGAGAGCTGAGTAAAAGTGGTAACAGACATAAAAAATAATAAAAATACATCATAGTAAAATTTTCTCATAGGATAGCCAATTGATTATCAAAGTCAAAAATTGTATACACACATATTTTATTTTTTAAATCAATAGTCACAACTAAAAATTAAGTAAATTGGCATTCAAATTTTTTATTATGATGATATTAATCAATGATTTATTTTAATTTATACAGAATTAAACTTTTCTTTGTCCTCATAGTAGAGTCTTTATTGTTCTTGATCTTTAACTATTACATTAATACATCAGGTATGATTATTATCATTTATTGAGTAAGATCAGTTAACCAATAACGAAAAATTGATTTTTTCTAAATATGATTTTTATTATAAATATTATTTGTCAATTGTAGGCAATTATAAAACAAGTAATTCATAAAATTTTTCTAAATAATACATTATATTTCTTACTTAAAATATTTTTAATTAAAAGTCGTATGTACTATTATAACACCTATGAAGATATGCTATCCTTAGGATCATACTCACCTACATACAGGAAAAAGGGGTAGCTAGAGAGCTTAGCTCTCAAGATGAAAAATTAACCCTTTTAAAAATAAAATTAGAAAAATATATACATAGTGATGTATAAAAACATTATGGTTGAAGAAAAATTAAAAAAATTGATTTAAGATAAACAAAAATTTTATACTGGTTGCCCCTATGTGTGTACCTCCTCCCCCACAATTAGTCCTGTATAGTAAGTGTGAAATCATAGTTTTCTAATAATAAATAGAATGCAATTAAAGAAGTAGTAATGATGATTAGTCTATTAAAATTTTATAAGCATGTTGAAATTTAGTTTACATAGACATGAAGTGAACAACTCGTCTTTGACCTGGCAACCACATAAATCGACGAATATTTTGCGGCGAACCCAACCGTTAAGCTAAATGACAGTGAAATTAATTTATCACTTGCTCTAATAAAACGATATATTAGACATTTAAACAAATTACCAATTAAAAAATCTTATGTTTTCTTCCCTTTTCTCCCCTTAATCCTAACTACTTGGGATCAACTATTATTTATCCTAAAATTCCACTCGACACGATCTCACACATTTAAATCTATTTTCTCTCATATCATTCACGATTGACACCACACCTATACTCCTTCTTATATGTTCCTTAACCTATCTTTTCTAGTTTTTCCACTCTTCCATCCAAGCATACTCATATGTGCTAGACTCATTCTCTGCTCCATTCTCTTGTCAACCGCCCAACACTCTCAACCAAACATCATAGCTGGTCTCAATACAGTCTTACAGAACTTTAAAAAAAAATGTACTATTTTATTTCTTCAAAATAATTATTTTTGAAGTTCAAGCGAAAAAAATTATTAAATTAATGTTTTTGCTTTATATTAAAATTATAAATTTTATACACGATATAAATACAAGTAACTAAATACATAGGTAGGCCTGTTAGAAACCCAGTTCATAAACCATGATACCATATCCATAGTGTTATTATCTATAGAAGATAATTAATATTATGCTGATAATAACCATAACAAAATTATAAGTTTTTTTATATTGCTGTTTCTTATTTATTTTACATACAAAATATCATTATCACCATAGTTTCTATTCCTTCTATTTGGGATCGGCAATTTGACGGAATTTTCTACCAACTATCGACCTGATCAAATTTCATTATGGCTGAGCGAAACAGTATAAAAAATATCAAAAACTTAATTTATATTTTTACTTAAAAGTTTTATTTTTTTTAACCTTTTAAATTTGATATTCAGGGTAGTAATTACTAAGGCGAGAAACCCTGATGTTTACATAGCCAGTACACTTGAAAAAAATCAGATGACTAAAAAAAAGATTATAGGATTAGTATATTTTGAAAATTACTCTCTTTAAAATGTTTTGGGTACGCAACTGCTAATTTGACTTATACATCTTTTTTCATGGAAAACTTACCTTGCATCTTACCTTATGCCTAATGGAAGAGAGAAGATAACGAATCTACGGGAAAAAAAAAATGTTATTTTTAAGATGTATAATTTATCTAATCATTAATTGTTTGTGTGATGTAAAAATAAATTCATTAATAATATAAGCTAATTTTATATTTGATTTTTATTTAAAAAATCATATTTGTCTAAATCATATAATTCAAAATATTAAATTTTAAATATTTAATGTTTAGTAATAATAACAATAAATTATAATTTATTCTAGTTATAGTATTTATTAATATTATTACTATTATTTTTCTGTTGTCGCAAGTTAATTTTCAATGAGATAATTATTTAATTAAATAGCTCTATAAAATTTAATTGGATATAGGAAGTTTGTAGATTTAATTGCTTTCTTTTAAAAATGAGATCCCCTCGTAATCGTAACTGTTACAATTTCATAACTTTTTATGATTATTACCATGATGTTGTGAATGTACACAAACAAACACGTTATTGTGACTACATGGTTTAGCTAAAATTATATTTTAATTATATAATTTTATTTTCCGATATAAACTTCTCACGTTTTCCTTTACTGTAAAATAACATAAAAATATAATCTCATTAAAACACGCAAAAATGATAAAATATGTCAAAAAAAAAAAAAATTAAGAATTTTTCTGAATCTTTTGGATATCAATATTGTTTATTTTATTTTTGTTCTTAGATTTTTCATGCCAAGTTACGATATACCTATGTGTTTATATGTGTATAATTTGACAATGAGCTAACTTCAACAACTAATTTTAAATTTTTCTTGAGATATTATTTGATTAGTTAAAAATTATGTAAGTGGATATGATTAATAATTGAGCCTTATTTAAGGTGTAATTGTTGCAAGTATTAAACATATTATATAATAAATATCTGCCAACGTTTTCTATATTGGTGATTTATGCATATAAGCTATTTAGATAAAATTAATAGGATACACAATATCATTTCTACGTTATCAATTAAAACGATTAAGTATATTACTTAATAATTTTAAGGTTTGGTTAATCAATAACAAGTAAAAATAAAACAATTGCTTATTCAACTGGTGGTTATAATAATAAAATAAAAATAATAAATTAAACTTCAAGTTGATACATGTTACGAGTAGTAAAAATTATTAAATAGCATGCTTAATATTTTAATTGCTCATTTGTGTAACAGTGTACATGTATATTTCGTTATAAATTATAAGGAAATGTAATATTTCAACATAATTAAAAGTAATTCAATTATTTCAATTATATTTACTTAATTTTTATATTAATTTATGTACATATTACAATTTTGTTTAATCATATATAAAGTTTTTAACAAAACCTCTAAATTTTATAATAAAATCGATTCATTTTTGACGATTATCGCTGGTTTGTTCTGTAGGGTGGATGAGGGATATATCCTCCCATAAGACACCATATAACTACCACTTAAAATATTATGATAGATTTTAATTAAATTTTTATTAATATAATTTAGTTATCATAATTAATATTTGTTTTTTTTTCGATTTTGTTACGTTATAGTATGATTGTATTTATAATTATAATTATTAGACAATAATATATATATATATATAAATAAAAATAAAACCATGATTGTAAATAAGACCTAGATCTTAAGTATATTATAGAACTTATCTATAATAGTGGTCATAATATTATTATCTATGAAAAACAATAAATATTATGCTGGTAATAATGACAACGAATTTAAAAGTATATTTATATTGTTGTTTGTCATTTATTTTACATACATATTTTCTTTTTCCAAACTAAAATTTTTAGATCTATTGTGAACCAATATGGCAAGTTACTAACATTATTGGTAAAGCTGAGCACTAACAGGTCAGAAAATTTTATTTAAGTAATTTTTTGACTTGACTAGTAATTTTTAATACATAATAAGTTTCTAACCTAGGTTGAATTTCACATTTAAAATAATTTTAATCTAACACGTTAATAATAAAAATAACTAGTTATGTTTCCATTTTTTAATTTTATGTTACGATTTCGAATTGAAGTAGTAGTTTTATTAAAGATTTACCCGTTTACCGATATTATTAATAGTGTCATAACGATAAGTATGCGTCCGTACATGATTTTTCTTTCTTTTTTTAAATTTTTTAAATATTAGAAATATTTTAATAATTTTATAATATACACATATAATATATATATATATATATAGGTAGTAATATAAGTAATGTACACTTTTTATGTTGTGTTAATATATATGTATATATGTGATACTGTCATTTTGTTAGTTTATATTTTTATTTTGCTCCACATTTTTGGTTTTATGTTCTAAAAGATTAATAATTGACATTCCAAAAAATTAAGATTATTATTTATCTACTTGGAATATTTGATCAAATTAAGTTATTTAATTTAATTTTTCAATTATCAATAATTTAAAATTTATATTTAAACTATATAAAAAGTAACTTCTAATTTCTAATCTAATTTAGTTACTTTTTCAACAAACAAATTTAGATTTATTTTTAAGTAACTTAACTTGAATAAGTAAAAAAATGACTAACTTTTCCAGCCTTAAGTATAAAAAAACTTATTTTATATTTTTATCCAGCGTAGTATGTGCTAAAGCGAGATACCCAAATACTTGCATAGAAATCATATTCGAAAAACACCTGATGACTAAAAAAAACATCATACAAGTATCATATTTTGATAAGTTCCTCCCTCATTTAAAACTTCTGGGTAAGCTACTGATTATTGTAATCTACTACTTGTCAACATATGTTATATTGATAACATTAATTTAAATTAAAAGCATATATTTTTTTAAGATTAATTTTAAAACAAGCTGAAAAAGTGTTATACTTTTGCAAACCGATATTATTTTTGTTGGTACTGAATTTTTTTCTTATCACATAATATTTTATATCGTCATAATTCGAAAAATATTCTTGAAAAATGATTCTACTAATTTTAAAATGAAGAATAGATAAAATAAATACTGTAACGACTTAAAAGACAATATTTCGAATCAAAATTTAAAATGTCATTTGTTTTTGATTACGTTTGATTATAAATATCCATTTAAATCTCAAATGATATCTGTTTTAAAGAAAAAAGTTTATAGCCAGTTCTAAACCGATTATCAAAAATTGATAGTCCAAACCATAACAATATAATACGACATTAGAGTAAAAGTTTAAAAAGGCGATGTTCAATATCTAAATAAATAAAATATAATGTTATGTTTTACATTAAGTCACTGGAAAGAATTAAAAGAAGAGGGAAAAAATTTTATTATCGACAGTCTATTGTCAATATATGTCACTATATAAACTTCTTAATTTGATTTTCTTGCCGTTTAACGTATTTATGTAAATGTATACTACGTAATATCGCGTAACTGTAGTCTTCGCCTTTATTACTAGAAGTGAATTCACATTTATTTAACACATAAATAACTTTTTAAGTTGTTCACAAATGGAAAGTGTACAAATTTATAAATAATAGAATGTCTTGATAATTATTAAAATATATATGATATACATATATAAAGGATTTAAAGAACTTTAAGTTGACCTTATTATTGAACATCTTTCTTGCTTAGATCAATAAAAATAAACATAAATGCACTAAAGTACCCTAAATTAATAGTTGTGAAAAAATTGAAAGAGGTGAAATTTTTATACATTTTTTTATTGTATCTAATGGTATTAATCATTCAATTAGCACGATAATGGATTAATATTCAAATATTATTATTAATATACTTCATAAAATTACCAACACTTAATTATTTACATTTTAGCGATCTGTCATACTACTTTTATTACTTCCATTACCATTTTTTTTATTATTTTTATTATTTTGAAGTACACTTTAATGTTCCCCAAGATACATACTTGTACATTTTTATACTTTGTTGAGTATTACATAATTCCTCTTGCAGACAGTTCAAGTAAAAGTATACCGAAAGAATAGCTGCGGAAGACAGATATCTAAATTAATGAATCACTTATGAAAACTTTGATATCTATATTATACCATTACAAATAAAGATATAAATAAGATATATTAATACACCTAAGTAAGTTTATTTTAATATTCAATATTTAATTATCTTCCTTCCGACAATAAGTAAAATTTTTGATTTGTTTATTAAAAATTCAATACAAAAATTTAAATTATGCTTCAATTAATTATGTATAAATTGTAATGTATACATAATATTTTTACATAAGCTAGTCTAATGTAAGTGTAATTATAACGCGAGAAAAAACTGTTAATAAGACTATTATCCTCATGAAATTTTTCTTTTTAACACAAATTTAGATTTATTAGCTCAAGCTACAATTTAGTTCGCATTACACAGTTATAAAGTTTATAACTATGTAATATTTCAACACTCACAATATACAGTTTATATTATAAACTGTATATTGTGAGTATTGAAACGAAAAAACTAATAAAAAATTCATGTCGGTTGACTGTTCTGTGCACGATTAATCGTCGTTTGACCACGACGAAAACTATGTGGAGCAACGTGACACGTAAAATATAAACTAGTGATGAGTTTGGCTATTTCCTAGAAGTTGACCTTGAGCGGAATATTTTTTCTTCTACATCGTGAAAAGTAAAAGTGAATAGGAACAAGCGCGTGCAGATAAACAAAATAAAAACTGATGGAATCCGAGCCATCGGGGTCGAGATGGACGTGGTCGACCGCAGCCACTGGCCGGACTTCCTTAGCGGTCGTTCGGAATATCATCGACTGAATTGCATAACTTTTTAGATTTACTATAATCTTGATTTTCTTTCGTTGTCTATCGCGTTAAGTGCATATAATAATATCGTATCGTAATGCCTCTAGCTTGGGTAGGCGTACACTGTTATGCAACTCTAACAAGAAATGGTCGACTATACAGAAACATAATATTATAAATTTGTTACTCTGTGATTTTGTATAAAATTATCATGCGGTTCAAGACAGGACTATACTTCCAGTCTGTAGAATGAAATTAGTTGCGAAACTTCAATACATTTTTACTGATTGACGGTGTCCAAACTCTAAACTGATAACAACATGATTGTAAGGTTTGCTATCTATAAGTTTGTATATTGAAAGTTGATTCAATTTACGGAAGAGGTGTATAAAGTAGATTGCAACTCTTAAAATATTTTTACTTAAAACTTGCTAAAAATAAAATTATAAACTATTACAAATTTGCCTTATTTTTATAAAAAATAAATTATTATTGTATTATAAAAAGGTAGACCATATTTAATAAAACGCCTTTTAAAAATTTTTCTTTTTAAATTCACCATAAACATTTAAGTAAAAATGAATGTTAGTATCCAAATTATACACTGGGTTTTCTGAACAAATTAAAAAAAATAAAACTATTGAAAACTCACAGTATTTTACATGACAGTGTTAGAACTTAGAAATTTTCAACGCTATGTTATTTTTTCAACGAATAATTTTGTCAATTAAATTTAGTAGACTTGAAAATATTCATTTCGATTAGAGTATTGCATAATATAATGTATTACAATGATATTCGTTTTGGTCAAAGTGCATAATATCTAAATATTGCTACAAAAAGGACTTACGCTGTAGCTCAAGTACTACGATATTGATTTTCAAAAGACAATTAATATTTAAATAGAAAAAAATAATTAGGTGAATTAGGGTAAATGTAAACAAATGGGGTAATTTTAAATACATTTTTTTTTTTAAATATTCAACTGATTTTATTTTAAATTAAAAAGTTCTGGTCCTTATAGGCGTTGTTATCATATTAGTAGGGTCTAGTTTTAAAAATTCGTGGGTACAACATAATTCAAAACTCTGGTACACTAAATAATTATTACACAACAAAAAAAGTCAGAAACCATGACTATAACTATGTTGGAATATATACGGGTGATTGATTTACCCGTTGGTCACTAAATTTCTCCTAAAATAGTATTTTTGAATATAAATAGATATATTATTTTATTTAGTATTAATTATTTGTTTATAAGTTGTTAAGTATTTTTAAGGTTTTAGAAAATCTTATTAATATTGTCGTCAATACTTTATTGTCATAATATTTATTTTTATTATAATTTTTACCCATTTTAGTTAATCATTCAAAATTTTATTTATTTTATTATTAAATGGCATACGACTAATATTTATCAGGGTCCCCTTTCCAGTATGCCTGGTTTGAAATGTACCAAATTTTCTTCTATAAATATGTTACTGCATATTTGATGTAAGTTCAAAATAAAAAGGTGTACATTAATCCAAAAAAATGTATCTACAATTACCCCAATCGTTTACAATTAAATTTTTACACTGGAATTACAGAACTTATTCTCCAAATTAGTGGAAATATTGTTTACTATAAAAGTATAGAAAATAATAAAAAGATCCGACAAAATACATAAGCACATTGGGCTAGGAAAATACTAAAAATAACATCAGACTCTGAATATTTAGATATTTTTAAAAAACGAAGACCATCGTGATTTTATTGTGAGTAACAGTGCAACGGGAGCGGAATGAGTACTTATGGTTATTAATTAAGTTAGATTGTGGAGGGATTTGTGTAGCAGGATAAGCATTACAAATAGAGGAGAAATATGTCGTGAAAAGATTTACTATTTCTTCAACGTTACTAGCTGTTGTATCATCTAAATGTAATGAGATAGGGGAATTGTTTAAGTTTTTATTATAGGAAATCCATTTCTACATTTTTTTTTGGTTCAGCTACAATACTAAATTCTGTAAGGCCTAAATCTCATTGAACACATTTTTTTAAAATAATTTTAATATTTAAAAAGTATAATATTTTTCCAAAGTAAAATTTCTAGATATTTTATGAACCAACATAAAAAGTTTCTAACATTAATGATTAATTGATTAGGTGCAAATTTAGTTAATGAATAAATATGCATTCTAAAAAATAAGAGCTTTAGATTGAGAATTAACAATTTTAAATATGTTATCCCAATTAAATAAATTAAAGAACAAATTAATTGTAGTATAGTTAGTTTTATATGTAACTTTAACTTTAGTGTAATAAAATTATTAACAGTATAATTCTGTTTTATATAATTAAGAGAAGTTTTAATGTAAGTGTGTATAACAAATGATAAGAATTTTTAACATTCTTTGAAAAATTTACCAAAATTTATAATATATTTTCTTGATATTATAATTTTGTTAGATAGACAGTACATTATACATACATGTAATATGATTGAAACAATTTCTTTTGTTTATTATTAGAGTAATAAATAATCACCACAATACACAAAAGGATGAAAACTTTTAGTAATTTCTTTATCATCATCCATGACTGCACATTTTACAAAATATTACTTTGGAAATGTCTATACTAATTGTACTTAAAACTATGCTATTAAACTTTTTTAATATTTTTATTTTTACGATTTCTTAACACGGTTTAAATGTTTAACTACTGATGTGTATAATATTTATTGACATAATGACGTATCTGGCACTGAGTATATGCTATTTGACGAATGAGACTAATTAATATGTTTGACCATCAGTTTTCGATTAGTTATATTACACTATCGTTTCCTACTTTCTCCACTGGACTTGTATCCAGATTAATAATTTATATCGTTATGATTGATAGTCTAGTTAAAAAATTTTCAGCGTTAACAGAAGTTGGGAATTTTGCCAAACTAATATGTTGTTTTTACTATTCCATTACTTATTATGTATTTTTGTGTTTGTTTACATGTACTTCGTGTTTTTTATTATATTATTGCATCCTTTACAATTATACTAACTTGTTGTGAAAAGTAAAAGCTAAAAATTAGATATAAAAACAGCATATTTTGCTTCAAATTCAAAGTATTTAATATGCACATAAATTTATCTAATGACTTTATAAAAATATAACTTTCATCAAAAAATGTTATTTAAACACTATTAATTATTGAAATTGATTACTATACACTTATAAATGAACATTATTAGTAGTGGAAATGTTCGCTATTAAAATCAATATTGATATGTATGCTTAACTAAATTCATGTTTATTTACTTTTAAAAAATTTTTATTGTAATATAAATTTTTTTAGTTGTCAATCCAAAATTTCAATGTGATAATTAGTTTATTTTATGACGTAAGGTGTAATATTTTCATCATAGAAATAATTAAAGTAATCGATAGTTCACTAAGTTAATAAGTACTACTTATTTTTAAGTAGTGCTTAACTCACCTAACGCATACCTTCACAATCACTTAGAGTAGCCACAAATCACTTAGAGATTAATGAATGCTCATTTTGGTGCATATACAATTGTGTACTTTTAGATATAACTTAAGTATAAAACTAAAACAACATTTTTAAGCTATTCTTCACCTTAAGCAATAATGTTTATAATATATTATGTTGTAAAAATTTATAAATATAAAGTCCAAAATTATATTTACTTTCATAGGCTATATAATAAATAGCCTGCATATAATATATTATATTATATGATTCGGTCAGTAACGTCACGTAGGAATCGAAAGTCCTGAGGCTACTTCTATTACGAAAAATAAAATGTTATGCCCTTAAATATATTTTGGGACAATCAAAATAACACATTCGGCTGAACACGTAATAACTTTACTTATAGGTATCTTTAATCCCGACTTAATTACCTTACTAGACACTGACATTTACTACAACATTAAATTTACAAAAGCCAATATTAAAAATATTTTCAGTAATAATCTTAAGTTTAAAGTTTATCTGTCTGTCTATTTTATATTTCTAGTGAATATCGTATGAAATATGCTTCCAACATTCAATACATTTTTTTTTTCTTTTTTGACAGTGATACCATAGTGCCATTGTATCATAATTTTTTATCATCCATAAATAATTACAAATTTAATTCACAACTTTGTAATATCGTTTGCGAAATAAAGCATAGTTACTAGCAAAAAAATAAAATAAATGTATTATTCGTGCGCTTTAATTATTATTTGATTAAAGCTACTCCATATTTATGTATTTTGAACAAACATATAAGTTAGTAAATCTGTTTGAAGCTAACAAACTACCAAGTATGATTTAAACAATTCAGAGGCATTATTCTTTCGGTGTGCGTTGTAATACTAAATAATTTGAAACGTCACTATACATAACAGTTAAATAATAGTATAAATAAATTATAGTCATAAGTGTTGTGTTATTGAAGTTTAGTCATCGTGTATAGATGTATGTAGATGATGTATTGCGACAACTTTCACTGCAAGGTCGTTCAATCGCCCTATACTATTTTTGCTGTTAATAGTTGTTCTGTGGAATGCTAAAGGAGATGAAATTTCATTCCAAGGACACCGCTGCGTGACAAAGTATCGAGATTGTTATATCTATGCAATCATCTTTTATAGTTTTTTAATTTAAATTTAATTGGCCCTATTATTCAAACAGAAAACAATGGTTGCAATTAAGTTTATTTATAAAAGGCACACATTAACTATAGGTCAATTAAAATAAAATATTTTTTTAAATTTACTTAATTATGATAGTAAATAATAAAGAAAAAAAGTTTTGAGAGTAGCTGAAGAGGCTGCAAATTCACTCTCTTCTAAAATTTTAAGAATGTTTAAAAATTATTGTTATAATATGGATATTGCTGATAATGTCTTAAATCGAACTAAAATATCTTTATTTTATACGCTTATGTTTTCTTAAACTGAGAATTAGAATACTTAACTTATGAGGATACTAGTATATACATAATTGATATTTGTAAGACAAATTTTTTCATATTATATGATATTAATTTATAATTATTATTGAAATATATAGAATATTTATATTAAATAAATGCATAATATATATGTTAGATTATAAGTTTGAAACAAAATTGAAATAGATTTTGGTTTTTTGTATGGATAACATTATACACTATTATGGTTCATTCCATTAATGTTTTCTATGTTATACAAATAATAAATAATATAAAATTTATTATTTTTTGAGAATTTAAAAAATGACTGATATGTGCATTAATTTAGCATAATGATAATGTACGCATAGTATATAGAAACAATATCAACAATTAATAAAAATACAAGTATTATAGCAACTGTCTAGTATTAATATTCGTTATGTAGGTGGTTTAACATTAAATTTATTATATTATAAAATTTTGCGTTGTTTAATACATTTTAACTTACAGTAATAAATCATATTCAGTCGAAAGTAATTGTTTTCTCCTTTAATTTTTACGTTTATGCCACATTATATAACTTATTCATTAAAAATATGTGAAGTTTCGGTGGTAAAATGAAATTGCTATATTTTTATACTTTCATTACAACCAAAGATTCAAAATATATTTTATTAGTGTTTATATATAGTAATAGTCGTACTTAAAAAAATTTTTAGCAGTAACAACGTAAGTAACATGTTGCTAGAATGTTAGATAATTTGTTATTTAGATATTATAATGTTTATAAACTAACCTGAGAAAATATTTTTGAAAATTTAGTTTATAATAAATGAATATTAAGGTATTCTTACATAGACAATTTTTAGTTAATTATCATTATTCTTTAATAATGCTATCAATTTTTTTTAATAAATAATTTTTAGCATAAATACGAAGCTAAGAAAGTATTAATTTTACTAAAATGTGTTTACATTTATCTTTTTTTTTTTTTGGCGTCTGTTGCCTCAATTTTTCAGTTTTCACCATTTTTAGCTTCGATGCGAAGCTGAGAAGGTATTGGTTTTACTATGATTTGTTTTTTTTTTGTGTCTGTTACCACCACTTTTTCTCAGCTCTCACCGAACGGATTTCTTTCAACGATACGTCAAAAGATCACAAATCGTATCTAGTTGAAGACATTACCCTCAAAAATTGAAAAATTTCCCTCATTCCCCGTAAATGGGGGAAACCTCCATAAAAATTACAAATTTAACAATCGCTAATTTTAGAAATTTTTTCAATTTTTTTTACTAAAAACTGCCGTAACTTTTTCAAAAATTAACATATCAATATAATTCTTTTTTATAGATGTTTGATATCTTTATCTATCATTTGGTATATATTTTTTGTAAATCTGACACTTAACCTGCCCCCAGGGGGGATTTAAAATGACACCTTTTTCACAAAAAATTTACTTTTTCTACTTAACTTTTGAAAATGTTCCGAAAAGTCTGACACTTTTATTTATATCTTAAATTAAATGTAATATAATATACTTTATTATGGAAAAAAAAAATTTGACCTTTGGACTTGTCTTCATGGTGAAAATGGCTACCAAATGCTATTTTTGTGTGAAAATTCTCGATTTTATTTTTTACATTTTTAACTTTATAATACTATAACTTATTGAAAAATGTATGGATCAACATAATTTTTTTATGAAAAATAATATTTTTTTATAATCCCTTTTTCATTCGACATACTTTATCTTAATCAGGATATTAATAAGGAACTAGCAGATCATGTAGCTTTTGGAATAATNCATACTTTATCTTAATCAGGATATTAATAAGGAACTAGCAGATCATGTATCTTTTGGAATAATCCACCAATCTAAAGATTTGCATCGAAATCTTTTTTTTTTTATAGTGTTTTTAATCACTGTCAGATATTATTATACTTGATCCAACTATGTCACGTCACCACTTTGCCACGACCCTCCTGTGCTGGGTTTTTTTTTTTTGAGGTACGTTAATATAGCAAAAATTATATTTAGTTAAATATATTAACCTCAAAAATTGGAAACATTTCCTCGTTTTCCATAAATGGAGGAAATTCCCAAAAATGATCATTTTTAAATTTTTTACTTAATACTGTCATAACTTTTTGAGAAATAGATAAATCAATATAATTTTTTTAAATACCTTTAACGGTATTTCTCTCTTATTAAGTATATATTTTTTTGAAAACAGGACCTTTTTTCTGATCAGAGGTAGCAACTTTTGCATGAAAAGTTAAGCTTTACTTATTGACTCTCGAAAATGTTTCTAAAATACTCTGTCCTTTAAACATATGTCAAATCAATCCTCATGTTAAATACTTTAAGTTACAAAAAAAATTTCTTGATGACTTGTCTTCTATAACGACTGTAATAAGTATTTATTCATGTATAATACTTATAAATTATAAAACTAGTTGGGATAACAGAATATAAATAAGGAAATAGAAATTGCTTTTGGAAAAATCTAGTAATTTATTTTAAAAATTTAAACACTATCTATAGATTTGCATCGAAACTTTTTTTATGATAGTAATTTTAATGACTGTTAGATATTATCTATACTTATTCCAACTTCGTCGTGTTTCCACTGTGCCGAGTTTTAATTACAATTTAAAAATATCCCAAAATATTTAGAGGTTTTATGTTTAATTATACTTAATCAAGTAAAAAAAACGATAGCACAGTGGGGTCGAGGCACAGTGTAGACAAGGCATAGATGGGACAAGTATAGATGATATTTGACAGTGATTAAAATCACTATTATAAAAAACGCTTCGATGCAAATCTGTAGGTAGTGTTTCATTTAGAGAAATTGGTGGATTATTCCAAAAGCAACATCAACTCTTATTTCTTGGATTATATCCTAAATAGTAGTTCTTTGATTTTAAAATTTAATATATGAATAAATACTAATTATAATTATTAAATTTAGTATGAAATTGATATTCAATAATTTAATATTGAAATTTTAACGGAGAAATTATAAAAATAATAAAGAAGTTGTATTTTTCTTTATTTTTACGTGTATAAAAATTTAAAGGGCTTAATAAAATAAATTTCAATAAAATCTGTTTGTTACTATAAATAAATGCACTGAACTACAAGGAACTTTCATCAGAAGCAAAAATATACCATTCTTAATAAACTTTTCGCGATGTTTTTAAATCTGCAATTAGACTTTTTCTATCACTTCTAAGTTTTAATATTATTAAAAATTAGTATTTACATATAAAAAATTCGCATCGAAGCTAAAAAATTGGCTATTTAAGCTAACTCAAATTTAAAAATTACTTTTTTGACTTTAAAAAAGTAAAAAAAATTTAATAAGTTTAATTTCTTATGTCTTATGAACTTTATTCTATGTCAATTAAATTATATAATATTCATGAAAGTCAATATATTCTCCTAATAAGATATTTTAAAATAAAATAAAATATAAAACCTAGAATTTTAATAGAAAAATAGCATATTTTTGAATAAGGTAGCCATTTGCGAATAGAAGATAGATCGTCGGGACAAATTTTTTTTTTTCATTTTATAGTACATAAAATAAGCTTTAAATTGATATATATTTAAAGGACGCGGTATTTCTGGAACATTTTCAAAAATTAAGTTGAAAAAGTTAATTTTTGTAAAAAAGTTGCTATTTTAAATCCCACCCAATGACCAGGTTAAGTGTTAGATTTCCAAAAAAATTATATCAAATGAAAGGGAAATATCTAAGGTTTTAGTATAAAAAAAATATTATGTTGATTTGTTTATTTTTGAAAAAGTTATGGAAGTTATAAGAAAAAAAAGTTAGAAAAATGACAAAATTTACCGATTTTTAAATTTGTAATTTTTTTTGATATTTCCCCCATTTACGGGGAACGAGGGAAAATGTTTCAATTTTTAAGGGTAATGTCTTCAACTAGATACGATTTGTGATCTTTTGACGTATTTTTGAAAGAAATCGGTCCNGATACGATTTGTGATCTTTTGACGTATTATTGAAAGAAATCGGTCCTGTGAGAGCTGAGAAAAAGTGGTGGTAACAGACACAAAAAAAAAACACATCATAGTAAAATTAATACCTTCTCAGCTTCGCATCGAAGCTAAAATATAAAATAAAAGTTTTGATAATGCGTATTCATAATATATCATACATATTGTCACGAGAAATTTTTTTGTAGATTAATTTTTTGTTTTTTTATGAAGTTTTTTTACTAAAAGAAATAGTAAATCAAACTATTATTAAAGAAAAATATATTCATATGCATTATGTATCTACTGAAAATTGACATTGAGTTTTATTTTATAGGATTAGTTTAGTAGAAACTATAGAATATAGTTCATACATTGTGTGTTATGTTCAACTACGTGCTTTGTATTTTCATGTCAAAATTAAAAAAAAAAAAAAAAATATCGTTTGCGAAAACAAAAAAAAAAAAAATTGTTGAATATCGCTACAATCGATATGATTTTGAAATCTACAACTTAAGGGCANGAATCAGAATGTAATAAAACTGGAAATTTTTTACAAGATAATTAGGTTTGATATTAAATGAAATTATAAAATAATAAAAACTCTTGTACCTACTAAATGTTGGCATTTTTATGACTGATTAAATATGTTTAACATAAGTTCGTGTTATTTTATATGTGCACTTTCTCCGTGTCTACATATGAACTTATTTCACCCAGAGACGCTAAACACTGAAGAATCATAAGAGGATCAAACTTTTTTATTATTTCACAAATTACAATAAACATAGATTTTATGACAGTTATGCATAAATTATTATTCATGAAGTACTTATTCTTTTATAAATAGGTTTGATTTGTTAGTAAATATCTTTTATATTTTTTATATATTTAAAAATATTAGAATTAAAAATGCATTTTATTGATTCTCTAAAGTGTCATTTATTAATCTATGCACAAATATGAGTAAATTTTTCAATTAGAATTTATGGAATTTATTTTATTTACAAATTATACTATATAATATGTGTTTATATATAAAAATTAATTTGCGATTAATCTTTTATTAATTTTTTTAGCAAAGAGAGCAGCAATATTTTATCATTCTATTGTTAAATAGAATTTTTGTTTAAATGTTTTTAGCGTATGGTTTATAAAAATTGTTGTTCTTAACGTTTCATTATGCCGTAAATAGCGCTTTCTTTATAGCCCAACTAAGTGATTAAATTGATAAATCAAGGATTATATGTGTTTTATTAATACACTATGTCTAAAACATGTTATTCGTACTCAAACAGCATTATACAATTTCACCGATCAATCGAGATTTTGCCGAAGGCGCTTTTAAAAATGTTAATTACATCATTGTAAGTAAGAGGCAAGCATACTGTGGTTCTTGTTTTTTTTTTTAGAAAAAACACTGTTATTTTTTTCAACTATCTTCCAATTCACGGGTCACTTCCTGTACAGCTCGAAGCGATCATGAATCTTCAATGCGCTCATTTAAAAGTACACAGATAGAATTGTGAGTAATCTTATGTAACAACATTGGAAACTGGGCGCAACATTTACATTACACCGAAAATCATAAGGGACTACTGGTTACCCTGTTCTAACATCTTAAGATTTAACGAATACCCATAAACTACTAAGTAGAAAATAGATCATCTTTTTAAATGACAAGAAACTCAATTCGATAGAATATTTGGGCAAATATTCTTTAAAAACGTATATTAAATGACAAAATATTTTTCAGATCATTTTAAACTTAATTTTTGTATTTGTAGCTTAATAAAACATGTTTAGTAAATAAATTTGTTGAAGTTTTATTAAATAAATTATATTTATCATAAATTAATTGATATTAAATATTGTTCTTAATCGAAAATTATTTTTTGATACCATATATGATTAACTATATATTAATGAAAACATATTTATATAACTTTTTTGTGTCTATTTTTTTGGCTTCATCTTTCTTATGTAACTATTATCTAATAATTAGGATTTCGAGGAAGTAACTTTTTCTCCCGCGGCGTTTGTGATTTTTAATTATTGTAGTTTAAAAATTTTTGTTCTAATATTTTACTTCATTGTTAAACATTGACACGGATATTTTGATTTTTTAAACTAATCTTCTTGTTTATCCTTTTATTATTTATTGATGATATTATTAAAACATTATTATTTTTACTGTCTTAGACTTAATTAAATTAATGATGATCTGATTTATTACAAGCAAAAAGTCCATATTGCTTTGCAGTTTGTATAACTAATGATATAAATTTCAAATACGTAAATAGCTATTATTAGAGATGCACATACTTGTCTATGGAACCACCTTTATTTTTACGACTGAAGATTTTTTCATAAATATTTTGTTACGCAACTTTTATATTTTGAGGGTCATATAATAATCATTGTAAACACACTAAAATAGCTTTCAGGTTCTGCGTTACACAGGTCATCGAACTATCTAATGAAAATTAAGTATATTCCTATTATATATATATATATCTTAAATGTTACTGAAGAACATAATTAAAAAATATACGTAAAGTTATGATTCAATAAAATAATTTATAATCTTTTTATCTATTTTCTTTGTATTTAACACTACAGGTTACTTAATTATGAAATTGTTCATGATGATGGTGAGTTAACTAGTTCCGTAACCAGAGGGCAGTAGAATGCTTCTAGTGAATTCTTCTTTAGTGGTTTTGTAATAATATAGTATTTATTAAGACCGGATTTAGGAATGTAGGGATTCAGTTTAATTCTATTGACGAACAAATAATAGCTTCAAAATATTTTGTCTTAAATTGTTCGTAAAAATTATAAATAAAACAAAATGTACTTAATTAAGTATGGAGGCCCTTATTTTTTTATTTGAGACTAGGTCTCCTAGTATCCTTTAAAAGAACAAGGTAGTTATTACTAATTTATAATTAGAAATGAAGAACATGAAGGTTTAAATTTGTACCCCAATTTTTATTTACTAAATTACATGAGTTGTTTAATATTGTAAGTAATGCATCTTATTTTAATATGAAAATATACACTCATAATTAACAAATTAAATCCAAAGTATTTAATACAGTATATGTTTCATTAATTCTATTAACAAAAATTAAAAAGGATTTTAATTAAGCCTCAATTATATACCAAAAGTTATTAAGATAACTTTTTAAATTTTTTTTCAATAAAATAATAATAAAAATTGTATTTGAACTATTTGACGTCAGTTCTTACATTGATTAGACAGAATATTTACACAATCTGTCATCCTGACGCAACCTCATTATAATTAAGGGAGCCAGTAAGAAGCAAAGTTTCAGTGTTCAATTTTTTAGATGGATGGCCATACAGAAACTTAAAAACTGATTTTAACCAACAACATAAAGCGCTAAAGCAGCGACTGAATTACCCCAAGGTACTACACTACACCCTAGTCTGCTTATATCAGTCAGTATTAATAATAACAATATTCACAAATGACTTAAGAAAAGATGATACACAAATAATAATAAAAATATTAGTTAGACGAAAAAAGGTTCATGGGCTTGGCTTAAAAAATTTGTCTGTAGGAGCTATAGTCTCATATTCTACTTCATAATTTTCAAGAATAGATTAAGCAAGAATCATCATTACCACATTTCTTTATCTTTCTAAAACATGTAATTAATTTGTGAAGATACTGAATATTTCTTTCTTGACAGGCCCATACAAACGACTCTAATATTATTTTTATATTACTTATGTATAAGGAATAAAATTAATTTATAAAAAAAAAGAAATTCAAAAACAATGAATTGATATTTATAAATAGCCATTATACGATGCAATAAAAATATATCATATTTAATACAGAGAACATTCATTAATAATTAATATTCTCGAATATATTAAAAAAGGAATTATTTTTCTATGTTATGTGGTTCACGAGAAAGTTTGAATGTCCAGTTCAGTAATACTAGCCGTTGCGCAATCTCACAAAGCTTCTCTTTTTTCAAAACATTTAACTTGCGAATAACGTCTACCACTGATAGATTTATTCGTGGTAGTAGCTATAGAGAATTTTCAAAAACAGTTACTTTTTAAATAACAATAGGTTGTAATTTATAACTACTACTGTCCAATCAATTGGAAATACTCACTTCTGGTTTTACTTAACGTGAAAGATAACTAATATGTAATATGTACTATTGTTAATAACAATATACAACTGTTTAACTTGAGGTTAAGTGTTGTATTAAAAAAATTTAATCTTGTTGACTTATTAATTCAAATTGCAGTATTGGAGGCTAAAATTTAACGCAGTCCATTTAAAATTATTTGACCTGAATGCAGGTATATTTTCTGTAGAATTTAAAACTGATGGATGTATACTCATCATACGATTTACCAAAAAAAGAGAAACATTATTTCCGGCATGACTTATATTGCTAATCGAAATAAACGACTGTTAATCAAAATATCAAAACAATTGCATGTGTCTTATAAAAGGCATATACGTTACTAATACATAATATATACATTATTGCATACGATACATATCTTATAAAGTAACACTGGTCTACAAGGTATAATTTTATCAAAGACGAAAATATACTTTTCTAAACAGATTTTTCGCGTTGATTATAAACCTACAGTTAGATTTTTTTCTATCAATTCTAATATATGAGATGATTACTAATTAATAAAATGATTATTTACACATGAAAAAAATTATTAAAAAAAATAACGAATTTTTTTTCAAATTATTACTTATTTTGATTTTTAATATGTTCGCAAAACTCTGTGTGAAATTTCGGTCAATAATATCACTTTAAACCAAATTTTAGTTACTTTAAATTTGATTTTTATGAAAGTCTATAATAAAACAAGTTAAATTTTTTAACATAATTTTTTTGGCTCAACTTTAAGTTTGAAATTAACATCATTAAATATAAAATTTTATGAAGATTTAAAAATGGTGTTATATAGAGTGATATGTGGTTAAAAACTTAAATAACTACTACTAAAAATAAGTTTATGAGAAAATCTCAACATTTCATTAGAATCATTATTTTAGCTTCGATGCGAAGCTGAGAAGGTATTGGTTTTACTAAGTTGTACTAAGTATGTGTTTATTTTATTTATTTTTTTTTTGTGTCTGTTACCACTTTTTCTTTTCTCTCACCGAACGGATTTCTTTCAACGATACGTCAAAAGATCACAAATCGTATCTAGTTGAAGACATTACTCTCAAAAATTGAAAAAATTTCCCTCATTCCCCGTAAATGGGGGAAACCTCCAAAAAAATTACAAATTTAACAATCGCTAATTTTAGAAATTTTAGAAATTTTTTTTATTTAAAATTGCCATAACTTTTTTAAAAATAACCAAATCAATATAATTCTTTTTTTAATAAATGCATGATGTCCTTACCTATCATTTG